AATGTAAATGGACTAAATGGTCCAATTAAAAGACACAGACTGGCAAATTGGATAAAGAGTCAAGACCCATCAGTTTGCTGTATTCAGGAGACCCATCTCACATGCAGAGACACACATAGGCTCAAAATAAAGGGATGGAGGAAGATCTACCAAGCAAATGGAAAACAAAAAAAAGCAGGGGTTGCAATCCTAGTCTCTGATAAAACAGACTTTAAACTTAACATCAAAGATCAAAAGAGACAAAGAAGGCCATTACAGAATGGTAAAGGGATCAATTCATCGGGAACAGCTAACTATCCTAAATATATATGCAGCCAATACAGGAGCACCCAGATTCATAAAGCAAGTCCTTAGAGACTTACAAAGAGACTTAGACTCCCATACAATAATAATAGGAGACTTTAACACCCCACTGTCAACATTAGACAGATCAATGAGACAGAAAGTTAACAAGCATATCCAGGAATTGAACTCAACTCTGCACCAAGCAGACCTAATAGACATCTACAGAACTCTCCACCCCAAATCAACAGAATCTACATTCTTCTCAGCACCACATTGCACTTATTCCAAAATTGACCACATAGTTGGAAGTAAAGCACTCCTCAGCAAATGTAAAAGAACAGAGATTATAACAAACTGTCTCTCACACCACAGTGCAATCAAACTAGAACTCAGGACTAAGAAACTCAATCAAAACCGCTCAACTACATGGAAACTGAACAACCTGCTCCTGAATGACTACTGGGTACATAACGAAATGAAGGCAGAAATAAAGATGTTCTTTGAAACCAATGAGAACAAAGATACAACATACCAGAATATCTGGGACACATTTAAAGCAGTGTGTAGAGGGAAATTCATAGCACTAAATGCCCACAGGAGAAAGAGGAAAGATCTAAAATTGACACCCTAACATCACAATTAAAAGAACTAGAGAAGCAAGAACAAACACATTCAGAAGCTAGCAGAAGGCAAGAAATAACTAAGAGCAGAACTGAAAGAGATAGAAACACAAAAAACCCTCCAAAAAATCAATGAATCCAGGAGCTGTTTTTTTGAAATGATCAACAAAATTGATAGACTGCTAGCAAGACTAATAAAGAAGAAAAGAGAGAAGAATCAAGTAGACACAATAAAAATTGATAAATGGGGATATCACCACCAACCCCACAGAAATACAGACTACCATCAGAGAATACTATAAACACCCCTACGCAAATAAACTAGAAAACCTAGAAGAAACGGATAGTTTCCTGGACACTTATACTCTCCCAAGACTAAACCAGGAAGAAGTTGAATCCCTGAATAGACCAGTAGCAGGCTCTGAAACTGAGGCAATAATTAAGAGCCTACCAACCAAAAAAAGTCCAGGACCAGACGGATTCACAGCCGAATTCTACCAGAGGTACAGGGAGGAGCTGGTACCATTCCTTCTGAAACTATTCCAATCAATAGAAAAAGAGGGAATCCTCCCAACTCATTTTATGCAGCCAATATCATCTTGATACCAAAGCCTGACAGATACAACAAAAAAAGAGAATTTTAGACCAATATCCCTGATGAACACTGATGCAAAAATCCTCAATAAAATACTGGCAAACCGAATCCAGCAGCACATCAAAAAGCTTATCCACCATGATCAAGTGGGCTTCATCCCTGGGATGCAAGGCTGGCTCAACATATGCAAATCAATAAATGTAATCCAGCATATAAACAGAAACAAAGACAAAAACCACATGATTATCTCAATACATGTAGAAAAGGCTTTTGACAAAATTCAGCAGCCCTTCATGCTAAAAAAACTCAATAAATTCGGTATTGATGGAATGTATCTCAAAATAATAAGAGCTATTTATGACAGACCCACAGCCAATATCACACTGAATGGGCAAAAACTGGAAGCATTCCCTTTGAATACTGGCACAAGACAGGGATGCCCTCTCTCACCACTCCTATTCAACATAGTGTTGGAAGTTCTGGCTAGGGCAATCAGGCAAGAGAAATAAATAAAGGGTATTCAGTTAGGAAAAGAAGAAGTCAAATTGTCCCTGTTTGCAGATGACATGATTGTGTATTTAGAAAATCCCATTGTCTCAGCCCAAAATCTCCTTAAGCTGATAAGAAACTTCAGCAAAGTCTCAGGATACAAAAGCAAGGGGCAAAAGTCACATTCTTATACACCAGTAACAGACAAACAGAGAGCCAAATCATAAATGAACTCCCATTCACAATAGCTTCAAAGAGAATAAAATACCTAGGAATCCAACTTACAAGGGATGCAAAGGACCTCTTCAAGGAGAACTGCAAACCACTGCTCAGTGAAATAAAGGAGGACACAAACAAATGGAAGAACATATCATGCTCATGGATAGGAAGAATCAATATTGTGAAAATGGCCATACTGCCCAAGGTAATTTATAGATTCAATGCCATCCCCATTAAGCTACCAATGACTTTTTTCACAGAATTGGAAAAAACTGCTTTAAAGTTCACATGGAACCAAAAGAGACCCTGCATTGCCAATACAATCCTAAGCCAAAAGAACAAAGCTGGAGGCATCATGCTACCTGACTTCAAACTACACTACAAGGCTACAGTAACCAAAGCAGCATGGTACTGCTACCAAAACAGATACAGACCAATGGAACAGAACAGAGCCCTCAGAAATAATACCACACATCTACAGCCATCTGATCTTTGACAAATCTGACAAAAACAAGAAATGGGGAAAGGATTCCCTAGTTAATAAATGGTGCTGGGAAAATTGGCTAGCCATAAGTAGAAAGCTGAAACTGGATCCTTTCCTTACTCCTTATACGAAAATTAATTCAAGATGGATTAGAGACTTAAATGTTAGACCTAAAACCATAAAAACCCTAGAAGAAAACCTAGGTAATACCATTTAGGACATAGGCATGGGCAAGGACTTCATGTCTAAAACACCAAAAGCAATGGCAACAAAAGCCAAAATTGACAAATGGGATCTAATTAAACTAAAGAGCTTCTGCACAGCAAAAGAAACTACCATCAGAGTGAACAGGCAACCTACACAATGGGAGAAAATTTTTGCAATCTACTCATCTGACAAAGGGCTAATATCCAGAACCTATAAAGAACTCAATCAAATTTACAAGAAAAAAACAACCCCATCAAAAAGTGGGTAAGGGATATGAACAGACACTTCTCAAAAGAAGATATTCATACAGCCAACACACACATGAAAAAATGCTCATCATCACTCACCATCAGAGAAATGCAAATCAAAACCACAATGAGATACTATCTCACACCAGTTAGAATGGCAATCATTAAAAAATCAGGAAACAACAGGTGCTAGAGAGGATGTGGAGAAATAGGAACACTTTTACTCTCTTGGTGGGACTGTAAACTAGTTCAACCATTGTGGAAAACAGTCTGGCAATTCCTCAAGGATCTAGAACTAGAAATACCATTTGACCCAGCCATCCCATTACTGGGGATATACCCAAAGGATTATAAATCATGCTGCTATAAAGACACATGCACACATATGTTTATTGCAGCACTATTCATGATAGCAAAGACTTGGAATCAACCCAAATGTCCATCAGTGACAGACTGGATTAAGAAAATGTGGCACATATGCCCCATGGAATACTATGCAGCCATAAAAAAGGATGAGTTCGTGTCCTTTGTAGGGACATGGATGCAGCTGGAAACCATCATTCTAAGCAAACTATCGCAAGAACAGAAAACCAAATACCGCATGTTCTCACTCATAGGTGGGAATTGAACAATGAGATCACTTGGACACAGGAAAGGGATCATCACACACCGGGTCCTACTGTGGGGAGGGGGTGAGAAGAGGGATAGCATTAGGAGATATACCTAATGTAAATGACGAGTTAATGGGTGCAGCACACCCACATGGCACATGTATACATATGTAACAAACCTGCACATTGTGCACATGTACCCTAGAACTTAAAGTATATTAAAAAAAAAAAAATTACTGAACTGTACACTTAAAAATGGTTAATATGGGCCGGGCCTGGTGGCTCATGCCTGCAATCCCAGTACTTTGGGAGTCTGAGGTGGGCGGATCCTGAGGTCAGGAGATCGAAACCATCCTGGGTAACATGGTGACACCCTGTCTCTACTAAAAATACAAAAAATTAGCCAGGCGTGGTGGCACGTGCCTATAGTACCAGCTACTTGAGAGGCTGAGGCAGGAGAATGGCTTGAACCCAGGAGGTGGAGGTTGCAGTGAGCCGAGATTGCACCACTGCACCGCAGCCTAAGTGACAGAGCAAGACTCTGTCTCAATTAAAAAAAGAAAAAAGAGAAAGATTAATATGGTAACCAACTTAAGTGCTTGAATGGATTCTTTGTCAATAGGCATCCTGTAATCAGAAAACATCTTGTATCCCTAATTTCATATCCATTACCAACAAACCTTAACACAAACTATAAAATATTACAGTACAAAATGTAGTATGCTTTGCCAAGCTCACAATTTCTTTCTTTTTTCTTTTGGAGACAGTCTTGCTCTGTCACCCAGGCTAGAGTGAGTGCAGTGGCATGATCTTGGCTCACTGCAACCTCCACCTCCCGGGTTAGAGCAATTCTCCTGCCTCAGCCTCCTGACTAGCTGGGACTACAGGCGTCCGCCACCACGCTTGGCTAATTTTTTTGTTGTATTTTAGTAGAGTTGGGGTTTTACCATGTTGCCCAGGCTGGTCTCCAACTCTTAACCTCGGGCAGTCCGCCTGCCTCGCCCTCCCAAAGTCCAGGATTACAGGCATGAGACACCACACTTGACCACAAGCTCACAATTTCTATTCAGTGCCTTTCACAGTGAGGGATAGGCAGTATAGCTATCATTATAATAATAACTCATTATTCAACTTTTTCAGGACAGTGAGGTGAGAACAATATAAAGTGATCTTTTTCTAAATTTATCTGAATTCAACTGATTCTTAAAGCAATGATAAAGCATATATAAATAAATAACTTACATCTTGTTAATTTCTTTGGACTCTGTGAAGGCACTGGCTGGTTATCAGTGTGTGAAAGACGAAGCTCTGATTCCTCTTGGGAGACCCAGCCTGGGATAAAAGTAGTAAAAATTGTCCATTGTTAATCAAATAGGAAGTAGCATCAGAAAAACAAGAAAAAGTAAAAATATCTAAGTCCTCCAGTCTCTGTACCTGGGTAAGATTCTACAGTGTAAGAGGTATAAAATACTGAAAACTTATCTATAGTCATATATTTTCATCATCTTAGTTTCAGATAGAGTTGGATCCAACTTCCTTACATTTTTCAAAGTGGTTTTGAAATAAACATGTGGAGTGTTTAAAAAATAATTGAAATGCAAAAGGTATAGGAAGAAGTTCTTAAGAGTCAAGAAGGGAGGAATAGGCCTGATAATTGGAATGCTGAAACCTATAAATATGCTCATACCTTTGGACTCATTGATCCCATTTCTAGCAATTTTTCTTACGGAAATAATTTAGCTGAAGGAAAAAGTGCATGCATGACTTTTTTTTGCAGCATTATCTGTAATAATGAACAAGTAGAAACAATAAGGAATCAGGTAGATTATGTTATATAAAATGACAGTACTTTGTAATTAAAACTTGTCATTATGAATACTCTGTGGGAATGTGGAGAAACGTTTGGTACAACATGAAAAACCATTTATGCTATGATTAAGGCACAGCACTAGAAAGGAATTTAGATTATCCTGCCGAATCCCTTCCTTGTATAGGAAAGATCATCTGAGGCCCACTGTAGATAGGGTTCCTCCAACACAGATCTTTTAACTCCCAGGGAAGCTCCCTTTCCTGGTCTGCACCACAGGAGAGAGAGAAGTAGATATTTAGGAAAGACTGGTAAAGTAGAGTTCTGCACAAAGAGGCAGGGGCAGATTTTGGTCCTGTCTTAACTATTTAAATTGTCTGACGACCTTTAGCAAGTTACTCAAATACTGTGGGTTTCAACTGTTCAGCTATTAAATTGGAATATCCTGTCTGCCTGCAGGTAGGGCTCAGAGCACATATTTTGAATAGTGAAAAAATACTGTTGAGGATTGCATTGCCAGAAACTAAAAGTTCAGTGCTGCTAGAGACGTGGCAAGTTATGGAAGAGGAGGGAGGAGTTGATAGTGGAGAGTGAAATCAGTTTGTAAATCTTTATAGCTACTGGGCCGTTGATATGCCATACAAGAATAAATACTTTTAAAGATTTTACTGTAGCAATAACACCTGAATTATCCCAGATAGAGTACCTTGTTATCAAATAATATTGTCTATTCTTATTTATATTATATTTATTTTTATAAATAGAATATAAGTAATATAAATATTCTGTTTATATATTATTCTATTCAATCAATTCTTACTGAGTGATTATTTAACTAACATTTAGTTTATTAATTGAGCCAACTGCATGCTGCTGTCATATAAAGTACAAAGATGACTCACTCTACATATCATGCCCTTGGGATGCCTGTAGATAAAGCATGTACCTCAGTATTTAATACAAAGTACAATGCATTAAGACACTGTAAAGTGCCGTGAGGAGTCCCCCCAACCAGGGGTTAAAATCTAGGATGTGAGAGACTGGGATATAAAGCAAAATAAAGTAGGATTAGAACCATGAAAATAGATAAACACCATAGGAAGAGGGAGAAACCATTTCCATTTGGCAGTACTGAGGAAGACTTCAAGGACTGACAATCATGGAGAAAACACTGGATTGGAATCTAATACTTAGGCCCACGTCCAAGCTCCATTACTGAACATCAGAAGCAGAGAAGCAACACGAGCACAGACAGATGCATCAGAGGGCTGTAGAGCACTCAGTGTGATTATAGAAAACGGCAAGTATTCTTCCTTCACTTCAATAGGAGATAGGAGATATGGATGGAAATGCGACGTAGGCAGGTTTTATCCCTAGAAACCATGGTGTTTCATTTTTAAAAATGTAAGCTGGGTGCTGACATCAGAATCTGCTGCTTGGAGAGAGGACTCCACAGAAGTGTAGAAGATGAATTGGGGGTTGGAGACCTGTTAGTAACTCTTGCAATAACCTATGAAACCAAATGAGACTCTAAATGGCTCTGGTGTTGAGGCAGAGAGGAGTGGGAAATTTGAGACAGGTTTCAGAAACAGAACTGACAGGATTTGGTAACCAATATGGATATAGGAAGCGAAGTGACCCTAAGGTGCAGGGTTGGACACAGGATGGTGGACTCTTTTTCCTGCTGCCTTGCCCAGAAAGGGAACCAGCCTCCAGAGCTGTTCCTTTTCCTCTTGTCAACTCCAAACTCAGCAAGTTTTGCTTGATGGAAGAAACAGTATTGACTGCCCTAGGGAGGAGTAATTAGCAGGTCAAGTGTTTTAAACCAGACGCCTGGAAAAATCAGTGAAGAAAACTTGGGGTCTGGTGAAGGTGGCAGGGAAGCAGCCCTTGTTTCAGTCTTGTTGACAAATTCCTGACGTGACTAATATTTTTCCAGTTGATTGGTGGATTGCAGATTTTATCTAGTAGAGCTGACGTTAAAATCAATCTCCTTGTTGATTCTAGCATCAATAAGCACACCATTTTACTTCACAAAGATAAAGTAAAGCACATATGTCCAAATGTTTCATAGACACTTACTGTTGAATGCTCCAGCCGCATGAAAGCCAAGGTCAAAAAGTTGTGAAGGAAGGAATCGAGAAGAATGAGCGAGGGGCTCAGACCCCATGGAAGGTTCCTGGGACGTGAGACTGGCACTGGGGCTCCCAAAGGCAGTCTGGCATTCTTGGGTAAATTCACTAGTACTTGAAGAACCAGAACTTAGGAGGTTGTTCAGAAATGAGAATTCCTTCTCAAAATCTTCTCCTTCCAATGAATCTACAGGTAGATCTTTTGCAACTATTGAGTGTAAATAAAAACAGAAAGGCTTTTTTTGATTTTAGGAAATGAGAATAAGACATAGGATGAATCAAATTTGTTTCATTGTTTTCATACTGTATTAACAGTTTTAAACTAACAACTAAAGTGACTGCAAGTTTATGTGAAAATGATTTCTAATTAGGCAGGATTTAGGTCAAAATGGCCACATTTCACAATGAAGATATAACTTATGAAGAGCTATATATGAAATAATTAAGCTACCATCTAAGTCAGAAACCAAAGGAGATGCAAAAAGGCATAGAAACAAATTAGTAATATGACACTTTAATATACCAGTCTGACTAAAAAACACGCCAAGAGGACAACAGATAAAAAGGATCAAAAGAGCATAATCAATAATGTAGTTATTTTGGATAACACAAACCCCGGTAATAGAAACATTCTTCTTAACCACACATTGAAAATGTACAAAAGTTGATTATACTAAGGCACAAACACACAAAAAATTGTATTCTTAAAGTAGGAACATTACAAACAACATGCTCTGATCATAATGCAATAAAAAGACAATTCTACAATGAAACTATAAAAACAGAAAGGTTCTTCCACCTGTAAATCTTAAAACCTTCTACCAAACAATGTTGAAATTATGAGAAACATCATTATTTCGGAAAAATAATGATGAAGGAAATATTTTATATCATAATTCATGGTGTTAAGTAAAATGTATAGACCATTGGTTTGGACTGAGCTCTTGTACTAGACCCAACAGACCAAACCAAAATGGAGTCACTCATGCTAAAGTTCTACATCACCAAACCAAACTAAGTTATCTGGCCTTTCAAGAAATTAGGAGAGAGACACCACAGCCAAGTCCCCAAGCAGGCCAGTCCTAGCTGGCATGATAAGGAAATCCCCTCTGCTTTAACCCTTACAAGAAAAGTAACTGCAATGATCAATCTACTTTTTGTTTTCTGTTTCTGCTTTCCCTGGTCCTTTTCTGTCTATAAAACCAACCTCCTCAGAACACCCATTCCACGTTATAGAATGGGGTATTGCCTGATTCTAGAATTGCAAATAAAAGCCAATTAAGGTCTTTAAATTTGCTGTAATTTTACCTTTTGACAACAGAATAGTTAAATGGCGTGAACAAAGGCAAAATCATATCCCTTAAACATTTTTATAAATAAAAATGAAAGGGAGGGGTGTCACAGTGCACCCCAGCATAATTGGTGAAAGTTATTTTTCAAAAGAAAGACGCATTTAAAGTCTCTGGAAATAGTCCCAAGGATATGCAGCAAATGAGGAAATATTTACTTAAGATTAAGTCTACAATAATTTAGGAAAAGTGGCAAGAGTTTGTGGTATTTGAACTGAGAACCAGTCCCATCTTCCCAATTTCCAACTTAGCAAAATGGAGATTCCACTCCAGTCTGGTGCAGCCAGAACACAGGGCTCCTTCTCTCTCCAGCTGTCAGTCAAGGACTAGCTTCCCAGGAGGAGTAAGATGCCAGCATTTCACATCCTGTCCCCAGTTACCTGTTGCTGAGGCTAAATCCTAGGTGAGTGCAGTCAATAGATGATAGAGGCTCCCATCTCCTCCCCAGATCCCTCATGGGTTGGGAAGGCTGAGTTTGGTGTAGTGTGCTGAGAATATAGGGCCCCTGATCACTTGACCCTGTTAGTAAAGTGGTGGTTTCATGAAGAAAGAGGCAAGCTAAGAAGATCTAAGGCTACCATCACTCTCCTCACCTAGCACTCGGCTCCTAGAGCAAGGATGACACTCAGGAAGAAGTATGCCATTGTCCCCACTCCCGGCTCAAGCTCTGACTCAGAGATTTTCCTTGCAGGGGGTGAGGGAGAACCATAAAACTGATAGTTCCTAATCCCTTTCCAAAGGCACTGACTTCATTTGTAACAGAGTGTAGAGAAATTCAACCCTAAGGATGCTCTCAAAACAGTGGAGGTTTTAGTAACAGGCAACTGGGAGAAGACTTATAGTGTATGAGTCTCAACATGTAGGCTAAACTGTAGGCCAGCTACTTTGCCTGAAGGAACCAGGGAAAAAGCCAGCTGGGGTCACCACAAATTTCAGTGACCTTAAGAACTATTTCTTTAAATGAGTCCAAATTTGATTGGTTTATTGTGTGGAACAATTTATGCTCCAGGGACTGTTGAAATCAACAGAGCAATCAGCAAGAAGAAAAAATGATATCTTGGACTTATAAAGAATTTTGTGCTTCCAAAGGCAAAATTGAGAAAATAAAAAGACTATAAAATATAAAAGACTGGGATAAAATATTTACAAGTCATATATCTGATAAAGGACTTTATAAAAAATATATAAACTCTTACAACTTAATAAGATAAGCAACCCAATTAAATAATGGGCAATAGATTTGAATAGATTTGTCAGTAAGGAAGATATACGAATGGCCAATAGCACATGAAAAGAGTCTCAACACCATCAGTCACTGGAGAAATGCAAGTCAAAGCTACTAATTAAAAGCACTAGAATAGCCAGGCACTGTGGCTCACACCTGTAATCCCAACACTTTGGGAGACTGAGGCAGGTGGATCTCCTGAGGTCAGGAGTTCGAGACCAGCCTGGCCAACATGGCAAGACCCTGTCTCTACTAAAAATACAAAATTAGCTAGGCGTGGTGGCGAATGCCTGTAATCCCAGCTACTCAGGAGGCAAGGTTGGAGAATCGCTTGAACCCAGGAGGCGGAGGTTGCAGTGAGCTGAGATTGCACCATTGCACTCGAGCCTGGGCAACAAGAGCAAAACTCCGTCTCAAAAAAAAAAAAAAAAAGCACTAGAATAACTATTATTTAAAATATACCGGGCATGGTGGCTCATGTCTGTAACCCCAGCACTTTGGGAGGCCAAGGCAGGTGGATCACTTGAGGCCAGGAGTTCAAGACCAGCCTGGCCAACATGGTGAAACCCCATCTCTACTAAAAATACAAAAATTAGCTGGGTGTGGTGGCACATGCCTGTAATCCCAGCTACTCAGGAGGCTGAGGCAGAAGAATCACTTGAAACCAGGAGGTGGAGATGGCAGTGAGCTGAGATCGTGCCACTGCACTCTAGCCTGGGTGACAGAGCGAGACTCCGTCTTAAAAAATAAAATAAAATATAGACAATACCAAATGTTGGCAAAGATGTGGAGAAACTAGAACCCTCACACTTTGCTGGTGGAAATAAAATGGTGCAATTATTTTGAAAAAAGTTTGGCCGTTCCTTAAGAAGTTAAATTCACCATGTAACCTAGCAGTTCCACTCCTGGGAATCTAACCAAGGAAAACGACAATGTATGCCCACACCAAGAGAAGTACATGAATGTTCAGTAGTCATAGTAGTAGTATAATAGCCAAAAATTATAAACAATCCAAATATCCATCAACTGGTAAATAAGTAAACATAAGATGGTATATATCCATACAATGGAATACTATTGCTTAATAAAAAGTAATAAACTGGCCGGGGGCAGTGGCTCACACCTGTAATCCCAGCACTTCATGAGGCCGAGGTGGGCGGATCACAAGGTCAGGCCATCCTGGCTAACACAGTGAAACCCTGTCTCTACTAAAAATACAAAACAAATTAGCCGGGTGTGGTGACATGCACCTGTAGTCCCAGCTACTGGGGAGGCTGAGGCAGGAGAATCGCTTGAACCTGGGAGGCAGGTTGCAGTGTGCCAAGATCGTGCCACTGCACTCCAGCCTGGGCGAGAGTGAGACTCGGTCTCAAAAAATAATAATAATAAACTACTGATACATACCACAACGTGGATGACTCTAAAAACCATTAATTGGAAGATGCCAGAAATAAAGGACTAACCTTTTGTATGGCTTCATTTATATGAAATGTCCAGAAAAGGCAAATTTATAGAGATAAAAACAGATTACTAATTACCTACGGCTTGGAGTGAATCAGAGATTAATTTAAAACAAGCGTGAGAGAATTTTGGGGGTAATGGAAACATTCTAATATCTAATTGTGGTAATGGCTGCATAATCTAAATTTTCTAAAAATTATGAACTGTTAGAATGGGTGAAATTTATGGTATTTAAATTATACCTGAATAAAGCTGTTAAACATAAAAAGAAATTTTGTACAACTCTATTTCAAATAAATTTAGAAGTCTAGACAAAATGAATAATTTATTAGAAGAATATAATTTACTAAAATCAATCCCAGTACAGACTAAAAGCTTAAACGGACTGATTTCTATAGAGAGATACAAAAAACACACAACTACAAGAAAGCACTAGACCTAGATGTTTTCATAGGTTAAGAAATGAATAAGAGGCTGGGCACAGTGGCTCACACTTAGCAAATCGCAGCACTTTGGGAGGCTGAAGTGGGCGGATCACCTGAGGTCCGGAGTTCAAGACCAGCTTGGCCAACATGGCGAAACCCCATCTCTATTAAAAAAAAAAAAAAAAAAATATATATATATATACACACACACACACACACACACACAAAAATTAGCCAGGTGTGGTGGTGGGTGCCTGTAATCCCAGCTACTCAGGAGGCTGAGCCAGGGAGAACTGCTTGAACCTGGGAGGTGGAGGTTCCAGTGAGCAGAGATCATGTCACTACACTCCAGCCTGGGTGACAGAGAGACTCCATCTCAACAACAACAACAAAAGAATGCAAAAAGAGCCAGGCGTGGCAGCTCATGCCTGTAATCCCAGCACTTTGGGAGTCCTAGGCAGGTGGAGCACCTGAGGTCAGGAGTTCAAGACCAGCCTGATCAACATGGTGAAACCCCATCTCTACTAAAAATACAAAATTAGCCAGGCATGGTGGCATGCACCTGTAATCCCAGCTATTTGGGAGGCTGAGGCAGGAGAATTGCTTGAACCTGAGAGGCAGAGGTTGCAGTGAGCCAAGAACGTGCCACTGCACTCCAGTCTGGGTGAGAAGAGTGAAACTCCATCTCAAAAAAAAAAAAAAAAAGAATGCAAAGAGAGTAGTAAAATGTTAGCAAGCAGACTAGTATAAAATGACAAAGCTGGACTTACAACTGGAATGCAAACAAGATATCAGGAAACCTATTATTATAGTTCATCATATTAATATATTTAAGAAGAAAAAGCAAATATTTCCTGGCATAGATACTGAAAAAGCTGCCAACAAAATTCAACAACTATTAGCTGGGTGTGGTGGTATGCACCTGTAATCCCAGCTACTTGGGAGGCTGAAGCATGAGAATCGCTTGAACCCAGGAGGCAGAGGTTGCAGTGAGCCAAGATCACACCACTGCACTCCTGCCTGGGTGACAGAGTGAGACTCCATCTCAAAAAAAAAAAAAAAAAAAAAAAAAAAATCAACAACCATTCCTAATAAAAATTCTTAAGAAAGTAAGTATGGATGGATGCTTCTTTAACATTATGAAATATATCTGTGTCCAAAGCCAGCATCTTAGTTAATTCAGAAATATAGGCATTTCCACTAAAGTCAGGAAATGTTCACTACTAGTTAACATTGTTCTAAAGGTAGTAGCCAATGTAATTAAACAGGAGAAATCTATGAGTTGGTAAGGAGAAAAAACAAGACAATCTCTATTTTCAGATGACATGACTCAAATAACAAAAGAATTCAGCTGTATGCCAGGATATAAAACTAACATGCAAAAGTGAATAGCATTCATATATACAAAATAACTAATGAAAAGATATAATGGAAAAGAAAACCCCATTTACAATAGCAACCAGAAAGATAAAATACATAGAAATAAACTTAACAGGAAATATTCAAAACCTGTATGAAAAAAAAGTCTGAAAGATATACAAGTAAACTTTAACAAATGGAAGGATGTCCCTTGTTTTTCATGAGGATGTCTCAAGATGATCAGCCTGTCAGTTTTCACATTTAATGTGATTACAATAAAGTATCGAGCTTTTTAATAAAGCCCCACAATTTTATATTCAAATTGAAAAAATAAACATGCAAAAATAGCTAAGAAAATAATTTTTTAAAAAAAGGAGGGGGGCTTCTAGCCTTACCAGATACTAAAACTAGAAGAAAGTTTCTGTAATTAAAACTATGTGGGCCAGGCGCGATGGCTCACTCCTGTAATCCAGAGGCGGGCGGATCACCTGAGGTCAGGAATTCAAGACCAGCCTGACCAACATGGAGAAGCCTTGCCTCTACTAAAAATACAAAATTAGCCGGGCGTGGTGGCACAAGCCTGTAATCCCAGTTACTTGGGAGGCTGAGGCAGGAGAATCGCTTGAACCTGGGAGGCAGAGGTTGCAGTGAGCCAAGATTGCACCATTGCACTCCAGCCTGGGCAACGAGGGCAAAACTCCATCTCAAAAAAAAAAAAAAAACTTGTGGCACTGGTGCATGCACACACCATTTGAAATATAAAGAAAGTCTAGAAATACATCCAAGTGGAAATAGAAATATAGTATATGACAAGATGTTATCTCAATACTAGGACAAAGATGGCATTTTAAAAAATTACATAAAGGGCAGGGCGTGGTGGCTCTCATCTGTAATTCTAACACTTTGGGAGGCTGACGTGGGCAGATCATTTGAGGCCAGGAATTTGAGACCAGCCTGTCCATCATGACGAAACCCCACCTCTACTAAAAATACAAAAAATTAGCTGGGCGTGGTGGCGCATGCCTGTAATCCTAGCTATTTGGGAGGCTTAGGCACAAGAATTGCTTGAACCCAGGAGGCAGAGGTTGCAGTGAGCGAAGATCATGCAGCCTGGATGTCAGAGCAAGGCTGTTTAAAAAAAAAAAAATTGTATAAAGGATAGCCTTTGTGGAGGGGGAAGGTAACATTTGATCTATTGCTAACACTGTACACATGAATTGACTTCAAATGAATTCAAGATCCAAATGTAAAAAATAATACTACATAAATACCAGAAGAAAGCATAAGAGAATTCTTCTATACTCTGGGTTTAGGAAAAGCTTCCTGACTATGACTAAAGTCCAGATCCAATAAAAGAAAAGATTAACCAATTGGACTGTATTTAAAGCTTAAAAAAATTTTTTTTAACTTAAAAAAAATTAAAGAAACAAAGTCACAAGACAAATGACAAACTAGGAGAAAATGTTTACAACCTAATTGCTTGAGAAAGATATTCAAGGTAGTTATTTAATGCTTAGGAAGTACCTTAAAGTTGATTTAGTCTTGATCCTCATTTTACAGATAAGGAAACCGGATGTTGGGGGCATACTTTTGTTTCTTAAATAGTGATTTTAATGTATTTAATGTTGAACGACATTTACTATTTTGCTAGTATCTAATGACACTAGATATACAAACAATTGTATTCATTCATTCAACAAATATTTACTGAGTGCTTATACTGCTGGTGGCTGAGATACGTGAGACAGAAAAGCAGACACAGCCCTAGCTGTCCTGGTTATACGGATACATTCTGATAGGGCCCAAACATACAAAACAAATAATTATTTAATTTCCATTGTGATGTGCTACAAAGTAGAAGCATATAATTGCATTCTTATATAGAGACCGAGACAGTTTCTAATGTTAAGGAAATAAATGTTAAATAAAAATTGAAGAATTTTAAAGAATCATTCATATGTAGAGTGAAATGATTATTTCTTACCATTTTCAGAGTTAGAAAACTGAGGTGCTCCAAATTCTCTCATTTGAGAATGTGTTTCCTTGTGATCTTTGTTTGCTAAATTAAAAGCACACAAAAGAGAATTTGAACAAGAAGAAATTCAGCAAGCTTATTTACTGTAATATTTTATCATTAGGTCAAGTGTTCAATTGACCAAATCAGAATCTAAAACATACAAAAGGGAAACATAAAAATTTAAATAATCTTACATATAAAAATCACATTTGTGTATGTGTGTGTGTGTGTGTGTGTATATATATATATGTGTATATAAAAATAATACCAGAGGTATTCAGGTTCTCTATTAAGTCTCTGTCCCCTTGAAATGTAAGTTTTCACGTTCCAAAGCCTGTTCCTTCCTTGTGGAGCTGTTCTTATTCTATACTTTCTGATAGGTCATTTTATATTTGTTCTGCCTGATCTCCATGCCTTGACACTCTGACACAATGGATGTTCATTTTACATTGAATGAATGAATGTATACGATTTTATTATTGTTTAAAATGAATACGATTTTATTATTGTTTAATTGACAAAAGTATATAATTTATCACATACAACATGTTTTGATATATGTAATACATTGTGAAATGACTAAATTTAGCTAATTAACATTTGTATTACCTCACATACCATTTTTTGTGGTGAGAACACTGCTCTCTTAACAGTTTGTTGTTGTTGGTTTTTGAGATAGAGTCTTGCTCTGTCGCCCCAGGCTGGAGTGCAGTGGCACAATCTCGGCTCACTGCAATCTCCATTTCTGGGGTTCAAGTGATTCTCCTACCTCAGCCTCCCAAATAGCTGGGATTACAGGCATGCGCCACCACACCTGGCTAATTTTTATATTTTCAGTAGAGATGGGGTTTTGCCATGTTGGCCAGACTGGTCTTGAACTCCTGACCTCAAGTGATCCTCCTGCCTCGGCCTCCCAAAGTGCTGGGATTACAGGTGTGATCCACCATGCCTGGTCTCTCTTAACAATTTTCAAGAATATATTGTTATTAAATACAGTCACCAAGTTTTACAATAGATCTTTTGAACTTACTTCTCTTGTCTAGTTGAAATTTTGTATCCTTTGGCCATCTCCACAGTGCCCTCCCCACAAACTACCTACCACTCTACTCTCTGCTTCTATGAGTTCAGCTTTTTAGATTCCACAAGTGAGATCATGTGGTATTTGTCTTACTGTGTCTGCCTTATTTTATTTTGCATAATGTCCTCTGGGTTCATTCATTTAGTCACAAATGACAGGATTTCCTTCTTTTTGAAGGCTGAATAGTATTCCATTGTGTACACATGCCATAATTTTATCTATCTGTTCATCTGTTGATGAACACTCCGTATCTTGGCTATTGTGATTAAGGATATGGTCTACTTTTTTTTGAGAAAGGGTCACGCCCTGTTGCCCAGGATGGAGTGCAGTGGCGTGATCAGAGCTCACTACAGCCTCCAACTCCCAGGCTTGAGAGATCTTCCCACCTCAGTAGCTGGGACTCCTCCCAAGTAGCTGGGACTATAGGCGTGTGTCACCATGCCTGAATAATTTTTTAAAATTTTTTGTAGAAACAGGGTCTCACTATGTTACACAGGCTAGTTTTGAACTTCTGGGCTCAAGCAATCCTCCCACCTTGGCCTCCCAAAGTGCCAGGATAACAGGTGTGAGCCACTATGCCTGGACAAGGATATGGTTTACTGTTAACAATTTGTACATATTTGTGGGGCACATGTGAATTTTTGCTACGTGTATATAATGAGTAGTGGTCAAGTCAGGGTATTTAGTGTGTTTGTCATTTGAGCACAGTATATTTTTGTTAATAACCATACTCTGCTATCAAACCTTGATATATTCCTTCTATTTAACTGTTTGTATCTTTTAACTTACCTCTCTTCATCCTTCTCTCTGCCCCTACCACTCACCCTTTTCAGCCTCTGTTATCTATTTTTCTATTCTCTACCTGCATGTGATCAAAATTTTTAGCTCCCGCATACAAGTGAGAATGTGTGATATCTGTCTTTTTGTGCCTGGCTTATTTCACTTAAGATAATGACCTCTAGTTCCATCCATGTTGCTGTAAATAATAGAATTTCATTCTTTTTATGGCTGAATAGTTTCCATTGTGTATATATACTACTTTTTCTTTACTCATTCATCCACTGATGGACACTTAGGGTTGATTCCATATCCTTGCTATCATGAATACTAATGCAATAATCGTGCAAGTGCAAGTATCACTTTGATATATTAATTTCTTTTCCTTTGGACAGATAACCACTAGTGGAATGCTGGATCAAATAATTCTATTTTTAATTTTCTGAGCAATCTCTATACTGTTTTTCATAGTGGCTATACTAGTTTACATTCCCACCAACAGTGTATAAGAGTTCTCTTTTCTCTGCATCCTCACCAGCATGTGTTATTGCTTGTCTTTTTAATAATAGCCATTCTGACTAGGGTAAGCTGATATCTCACTGTGGAACTGATTTACATTTCCCTGATGATTAGTGATGTTTAGCACTGTTTCATATACCTATTGACCATTGGTATGTCTTCTTTTGAGAAACATCTACTATTGATGTCCTTTGCCCACTTTTTAATGTTTATTTTTCTTGTTGAATTGAGTTCCTCGTATATCCTGGATATTAGTCCCTTGCTGGAAGAACAGTTTGCAAATACTTTATCCCATTGAAGAGATTGTAGCTGCACTCTGTTGATAATTTATTTTGCTGTGCAGAAGATTTTTAGTTTAATTAAGTCCCTTTTGTCGATTTTTGGTTCTGTTCTTTGTGCTTTTGAGGTCTTAGTCATAAATTATTTGCCTAGAAAAACGTCCAGGAACATTTTCCTTAGGTTTTTCCCTCATATTTTAATAGCTTTGGGTCTTACATTTAAGTCCTTGATCCATTTTGAGTTGATTTTGTATATGGTGGGAGATAGGGGTCCAGGTTCATTGTCCTATATGGGGCTATTAAGGATATGGTCTACTTTTAATTCAAAGGCTGCTTTATTTATTTTATTTTTTTTAGACAGAGTCTCACTCTGTTGCCAAGCTGGAGTACAGTGGTGCGATCTAGGCTCACTGCAGTCTCCACCTCCCTGGTTCAAGTGATTCTACTGCCTCAGCCTCCCGAGTAGCAGGGATTACAGGTACGCACCACCACAGTCAGCTAAGTTTTTTTGTATTTTTAGTAGAGATGGGGTTTCACCATGTTGGCCAGGATGGTCTCGATCTCCTGACTCCGTGATCTGCCTGCCTTGGCCTCCCAAAGTGCTGGGATCACAGGTGTGAGCCACTGTGCCTGGCCTGCTACTTTATTCTTTTAAAAACTGGCCATAGCAATAAGTAGCATCTCCACAATTTTCACTTAAACTAGAGCTTTAGTAGTAATGATCTCACAGGAAAAGAAAGATCACCCACATGGCAAAGATAGCATACTCTTTTGTGATCAAAACAGCACTGTCTGTGTGTTTTTAAACGTTTTAAACATTTAAAAGGTCAAATATACAAACCAAAACCTCCATAGGCAAAACTCTACTAAAAAATTACTTCCAAGTTTTGAGCCTATATATCAAGACAAAAATAATTGTGCCCTATTGCAACAATGGGAGCCAGTTTTTGAGAGTCAGTTTTCTACATAATCCAGTTTGTATACATTGGATTTCATCTCTATGTCATTTATTTACTCAGTACAGACACACGTAGAGACAAAAAAAAGTATATGATTTTTACACTTTCTAACATCTTCAACTATTATTAGGGCCATTTAAAAAAAATGAAATGTAAATTTCTTCTGCATACAAGGGTGGACAGTGTTGCTGTATGGAGAGCTTAAAGGATGTAATGCATCTAAGGACAAGAAAGTAATAGCTCTATTACACTATTATTAAAATTCTATGCTCAGTTTGGGATAGTATAAAAGAATATTGGAAAAGTAAAAAAAGGTAAAAGCAACCAAAGTAACTGAAAGGAAAACACATTTGAAAGGAAGATTTAAGTAAGTCAGGGTGATTTAACCTTAAGATAAGGAAGCTAAAGGATGAATTAGATTTTAAGTTCAGATACATAATATAAAAATGTTAGAAATGTACAGAAGATTTAAAATTTTTCAAACGGACTTTATCAGTAAAGATTTTAGTTGAATATAGGGGAAAAAATAGAGGAGAAAATCTAGGAATGGAAAAGAGATACCAGAGGTGGCTGGAGAAAGAAGTGAGAGGAAGAATCCTGGTTGTGGGGAAGGGAACAGGAACTGGTGACCAGAGGCAGAGTCACATCAGGGAAGGTTTCAGGCTACAGAAATAGAGTTTGGGGAATGGAGAGATGTGTTAAAGGATCTTTAAGGAAATGACTCTGGATAAGATGAAGGGTAACCTCTGTTCTCTCTCTTTCAATAATGATCTGCTTCACCTTACAGTGCTTTTGGTATGGATTTATGTAATTTGGTTTCATTTTATTTTAATGCTACAGATGGATGAAATTGGGATTAAGATAGGCAAATGAGTGAGAAAGGTCTAGCTCAAAGGCCTAGTTTTTTATTCCATTATATGAAACACCATTTGAGTGAATACCTCAGAGCTTAAATGTTTGAGGGCATTTCTAATTACTTCCTCAGTAGAGGTCTTAAAGTAAAATTGCTCAAAGTCTGGGATGTTTACATTCTTCAGAAAATTTGTCCCATCCTTGCTAAATCTATAAAATACACTTTTTTCTCTGTTCTCCTGGCTTCTCTACATAAAATATAAGTTTAATGCATTGCTGGACTTGTTAGAAGTAAACAACAACAAAAATGTAAGCTGAAACCAGAGCCAGAAAAGAGAAGCAGCAAGCAAAGAAGAAAGGCAGGTATGCTGTGGGCAATGCCTGTGCTGACACTGCCAGACAAGGCCCTTGGCAAACACAAGGAAACTGAGCCGAGCCCACAATTCCTACATTAAAATAAAGGCTCTGGAAGAGGGTTAAAGTGGTCACCAGGCTGTATTCCTTGACTCTGGAAAGCAGATAATTTTCTTTAGCAAAAAATTATCTAGGCCTCTAGGAGTCCCACAGATTCAGAGCAAA